ATCAGAAGTCAAACTCTGTACGTTGATCTTCTCAGTCTCCCAGCTCGTTATTCTTTGTTGTCTAGGAGATGAATTCATGTGGAGGTGATGCTCAGCAGTTTTGCGCATTGTCTTCCACAGCTCGTACATAATCGGCTGGGTAGAAACTTGCTCCGTTATCCTCGGTCTCGCATAGGAGGTCCCGCGGCCATCCAGGGCCTCTTCCATGCACTTCGCGTATGAAAGAGTCTTCTGTCGGCTGGCGGGAGGGGGATGGGGTTGTCAGCGAGGCGGGCAGGGACCTCTATATCCAAAATTGGGGACATCCCTGCTCGAAAAGAAAAGAAAAATTGGAGCGTACTTTCTTCTGCAGCACGGAACTCGATGGATTTCAGGCGGGTGGCGGTACGGAGGCGGGTGGAAACACGCGAACATCAACGAACACAAACATTTATATCACTTTCTTCATCACTGTATCACTCACCCACTTATTGTTTTCAAATTAAAAAACCTGTCACTAACCCAAACTCTATATCATAATGAAGCATTTGATTACTAGTGGAAAAAAATTTTCATGATTTTCAACATCAGTATCTAGTAAACCTTGCCGAAAAGTGTACTCGATTTGAAACTGATTCTTCAGAGTGTTAATTGAACGCTCAACAGCAAGAACTTGGCATCGCTATGTCCCCGGTAAGCTTCCTGATAAGCAACTCAGCTTGCTTAAACGATGGATTCTTAGCCCATCGTCGACCATCAGGACGTCATTGTGGAAGAAGTCTTAAAAAGACGGAACCTTTTGTGGGACAAATCTGGCAATAGAGAGCCAAATTTGAACCAGAAAAGGACGCAAGCCTGGAAAGAGATAAGAAGAATCGTGTTCGAAAAGTGCGATAAGGAAATGAGTATCGAATCAATAAAAAGATGCTGGCGTACAAGGAGGGGAAATGTTCGTGATCTTCTGATGAAAGAAAAGAAGTAATATGCATTCTTATTGGCATGTTAGCCAATTACATATGCTTCTTTGTAGGTATAGGAACGCCACGGGGGGCGGCGTCAGCGTCGCACTGGAACAAGCTCTAACAAAAGGAATGGCGAACATGACGGAGGCCGATGCTAAGATAGCGCGAGCCTTAGGCCCGGAGGCCTGCTTCGGCGGCCTCCGGGTCGCTGAAAGCGCCGTATGCGTAAGTAAAGAACTGTCCTTTGTGAGACTGCCCTCAAAGAAGATCTTCAGGCGCCACCTCCTTCTGAATGTTCCGTAGGATTCAGTGAATCACAGGAAAGCAAAGAGCTATTGAAGCAATTGTCAACTGTGAGTCGATCTCTAGCTGCTACGCATTCTCCATGTCCTAATTACAGTTTGAAAGTGATAGCGACAGCGACGCTTTCGACGAAACCCCCAGGAAGCGCTGTCGTCGCTCCAATGCCCAACAGCAGCTGTTTGAAGAGCAAACAAAATATATAAGAGTAAGTTCAAAGTCTATCTATGCCACTTTCTTACCCAAACTATGTTTGCAGGCAAAGCGCATGTACCTGGAAAAAAAGTATGCAATTTTGACCAAAGTCGACGCGTTAGTCGATCGAATCCAGATCAACATAAACGTAAACGTGCAACCATCCGGCGGCCCCCCACCCACACAACGCACTAAAGTCGATAACAACATTGAGGAGTCCCTGCTTTCATAATGTTCTTATACCGTGGATTCAACCGTCATTATTTTTATGCTAGTCGCTACTCTCCAAGAACATCGATCTTATGTTTGTTTACGTTTTGTTGTATTGACGTAAAAAATAAACAA